TGAGAGCATGTATATGACTTGGTCATCAGAGATACGCCGGTCTGAATGGTATGTCTTATGAATCACATATTCTAGTCTCTGTTTCTCAATTACACAACAAGTATGCTACCTGCAAATTAATTCACTGTAAACATTGTCCTTTGAGACAGAGTATGGCGTTTGCTGTAAAATTGGTTGTATTTTACTTAGGTAACAAATCTTTCAGATATACCGTTCAATATTTTCGGTCACCTTTCTATGGAACCAATCACTCTCACCTAGTTTAATCCCTCCCTCCAAATTCACCAGAAGGACTAAATCCCGAGAGACAATGAGACGGCTGTGCATTGCTCTCGCAAAGTAATCCAATTTGAATTGTTTTATTACAGACAGAAAAAAGTCAAAAAGCGGAGTCAGTGAAGGGAAATATCTCGGGAGAAATCGAACAGTTGATATTGATGACTGGATACGGGATTTGAATTCCACCATGGAATAAATTTATTTGATAAAAGCACACAGTGATTCAGTATTACTAACATTGATGACAACATTTCGAGCACAATGTACAGCCGAAATTCATAACAAGTCACTCCTCGCATAAATTGCAAACATTTTTTGTTTAATTTCATTATTCCTTATCGTTTGATTTCGTCTGCAGTATTATTTTCTGTATCTGTGGTAGTGGCGTCGGGTTAATCCTTTTCCACGTGTAAGATGGAGTTTCGATGATAGAGGATGCAATGTTTAACCTCCTTCTTCATGTATCTGTATTAGTTTTCAAAACTGTAGCTCTGACCCAGCTTATCATGTGATAGTGTGTATTGATTCATGCGTAGCTCCTTCTGAGTTCTTCTCTAAGCCATTCATCTACATCCGATCCATCATTTCGCAGTAAGTTCAGGTTTTATATTTACAGATTCCTACTACCTCCGACTTACTGGTTTGACCTACGTATTTGACGTCACCGTGTTTGCAAGCTATTTTGTATATTGGATAATCTTTGATCCATTGTTTCGCTAAGTTCCTTCAGCCTACTTAGGTTGTCATCAAGTGAATTTGCAAGTTTAATTTCTACCCGGATTTAGAGATTATTATTTATCCAATTATGGTTTCTGATGCTTTTTCCTTATATGGCGAAATTATCGTTGCCTGAAATCCCTCCTTATTTTGTCATGGTTTACAGTTCAATTAGTGTTTTTTTCCTATTTTCTTGTGAGCCAGTCTTTGTAATCTTCTGAGAGCATTTTATGAGAGAGTTACTCACAAATGATGGAATTATCTCAAGGGAGTTTGAAAGCTATGCGAGCATAACCCGATGTGGTTTTGAGCAATCAACTGTGTCCAAAACATCGTCATTAATAAAACAGAATACCGTGTCACTGTTTGTTTATTTGTCAAGTAAATTCACCCTGTGAATGAGTTATGCTCTATTGTAGCGGTCAAACTATGATCTGATACCAAGGGTCATTTTGAGGAAATAGTGTTATTAGGCGATGAGTTGTGGTAAGGATTCATAGAGTCAGTCAAGTCGAAATGCAGTGAACAGGAAGAAATGAATATGCACCGTTGACACCATGTGTTTCACTCGGGTCACAAAGGGATAATAATTATAATAACAAGGCAACTCAGATACTTTTTCGCCTAACAGTTGGCTTTATCTGTGCACATCACTTTAGTTTGTAAGAAGGCATTTACACTTTACCTCTGACTATCATACGTGATTCGGCTTAATAAAGAAAGCAGCAACGAAATCATCCAACACTATAGCAGGTATCTGAGCAAGGGGCGACTGGTATCAGTTGTTTTCTTGTCCAGACATACTTTCCACTAAGTGTGAGAGTACTACTCGAAGATATTAGTTCATAATTTTACGACATCATAACTAGGAGAAAGTTAGATAACAGAAACATGTAAATCCTGATTCAAAAGTCCACAAGATTGTACACCGTTTGTTTGTAGACAAGACTAAAGATGCAGACTTCTTGAAAGTCTCAAAGTACTATGACATATTAGTTAAGTGCTCCTACATTTTCTAACATGATAGAAATCATCTTCTCATTTCTTATACATTTAAGATAATATGATTTCACAGTGACTTTGTATTTCAAAGTAGATTTCTTCGCAAACAAATCAATGCTGGAGATCACTGAAACCACTACGAAGCATAATGATTTTTTTTTCTTTGCCTTTATCGACTAGTTCTACCTGAACCTTTGTTAGCTAAATCATGCTGTTTTTCGATATTCTTTTCACCACAGTTCGCCTCACTTTTTTCATACATGTTATTGATAGAACCATTATTATTATCATTACTATCATTTCTTTTTGCCAATATATGTATAGTGGCTACTAGCAAGTAACCAGTCTCTCAGCTCAACAAAGTAAACCATACTCAAACTTCAAATTGACTAGTTCATCACATGCCCCACTTCACTGCTGAACATGGTCGTCTTAATCAAGTCAACTGAAACCTGCATTAGGAATCAGAAGAACGACTTACCTTCAATCATTTTGAGTGGGAACAAACAAGTGTGTCTAAAAATTGTCAATCCACTAATGTCCTTCAGACAAACATGTCTTCTCAAGTTCGTTATACACTTCGAATTGGAAACTAACTATTCACTGTAATGTTTCAGACTGTTTCGTTACAGTAAAACCATCTCTATTCTGTGTCATCCGATGTTTACTGTTTTCTCCCTCCTCTATTTTACCATCATGCAAACTATCACCAACACTTAGATTTCGAACTCTCCTATTATTCAACATCTGACTATGTTACATGATCGTGTTCATCTGTTTCGATTGGGCCGTTCGGTTTAATCTATTAACAGGAAAGTCGAAATTGAATTCATGATAATAACAAATGATAGTCTTTGTCGAATAGGTGGCTCTCGCGGCTCACTTGGTGCAGTGGGTAGCGCTTGGCGCATCTTGAATTCCACTACTAGTCGCCATCCACACAAAAATGTCAATTGTGTCGTTGACCGAACTTATCTCATTATGATTCTTGTTTCAAATGCTTCATTTCAACCAGATTTAATGCGTGGATGAATTGTTCAACGCGCAGTTATATCGAACGCACAATCTTCATGTTTCTCCCATCAGTCAACAAAATAAAACACCTAAAATACAGATTAATCTAGACTGTTCCAAAACAAATGTGTTTGCATCATTTTCGACTAGGCAGCAATAAATTCATGAGAACGCAGTACCTTCATAACATCATAATTATTTATTCGTTCCATATTTATTAAAACGGAGCGCTTCACTGACACGTCGTCGTTCCACTGGGTTACTTAAAATCACTTCCAGCTGGATCTGTCACCATTCACAAAATGTTAGATATGTCTTCAAATCATCTCAGTATCAATATCAGGATCAGACAAATCTTGTTCAATGTGATTCAAATTTCACTGAAATTCCGGGTAAGCGGCGTAAATTGAAGATCTTCTTAGTGCATGTGCAATCCATCCATCTGATGACGGGCAGTCAGACTTCCTGAGATTTAACTTTTCTTGTCAGCCATTCGAAATTCGGAATAGAGAGAAATTACATGTGCATGAAAATCTGCAGTGCACTGTTGGACATACTTCTGGTGAAATGTTCATCAAGTCTATGAACTATGTAGAACCACTGAGTTACCCACCATATAAAAATTTTCAGCTGACTTAATATTCTTTTCTCGGATGATGTTTCTCTCATCCTACTTTCTAATAGTCACCCTGAATCCCATCTCACCATGTCGATAGGAAACCATCAGAATCATTGAAAAACATTAGGTCAAGAAAAATGTGATGTTTGTATTACATTTACTAATAACGATTCTACAGAAGTAAAACTAATAATGCATACACTGAAATAACAAGGTTAGTTGTTACAAGAAACAGATGTCTGCTTTATCGAAAGCTAATCAAGTGTCAATCAAAATATAAAAAATAAAATACGTATGTCGTCAACCATTATTATGGCACAAAATTCGAAACATCGCATATTGTCTGAGCAATAGTTACTATAGAAAAAAGTAGATTATTCCACAAATAACTGCAACCCCTACGAGACAACCGAATACAATGGCCACAATTATTCCTATTCCTATACCTGTCATGAATATGATAACAACACAATATAGTGTGAATAACGAAAAATAAGCACGTGGGATATTTTATGCACAAATAGAAATCTAATAAAACAAAGGAAATATTACAGTAGCCTCGATGATGAGTCGAAGAGATGACTTCAAGATTCATGGATTTCTGACAACAGTTTAATTACAAGCTGTCAGGATGTCACGAATGTCTATCTAATGACTCCATTTTCAAAACTCGAAAATCGCCAAAGTAGACAGAACTGTACCAGGTACTTAAAACTTCATTCTACACGCACGTTCGCTGTGTCTAACAGGCGACTTCACCCGTTTCATCACAAGGTGCTTCTCGACCACAATTCGCTGTCAAATATTTGTCATGAACACATGAACATGATACGAGGTGTCTCTTGTTTTGTTTAGGCATGAGGAAACACTATCACAGTCTGTGTGTTGAAATCATCAAGATCATGTTGACATGACGACGTAAGTATATCACACTGCGTCATCTCCATTATACGCATGTGCGTGTGTGAATGCATGTGCCTTTGTAGTGCCCCTCACTGTTTCGAATATTTCATTAGGGAGTTGTCGTCACTAAAGCGAAATTCAGGAAAGATTCATAGCTCCTTCGAGTGGAACGTGAATAAGAGACGATGAGTTGGGTGTGCTGGCAGTGTGAAAACGAAGAGAAAATCAAAGTGATCGTGCAGTCGTTTGAGAGTGACTTCAGGGAGTCGAGTGAAATAGAGGTGTGCTCGTGAAGCTCTATGCTTCAGTCAACAACCAGTCAATGAATAATAGTAATACCAACAATAACAATTTCATGCTGAAATAAATGGAAAATGTGATGTGAATATCTATCTAACTGAAGTGGAGTCAAGATGAGTTGAATTCAGCCTTCGTATTATAAAATGACGATAAAGTAGGTAAGTAATTAGGCGAATAACGCTGTGTGTGCATGAATACCATTCGATAAAATCACCGACTCACCGCCTTTATCTTTTGAGTCATCAGGTTTACGAGTTGGAACAGAAGTTTCCATCGTAGAAGATGTCACTGTAGTCTTAGTTTCAGCTCCAGAAGTGGTTCCACTCGTAGTGACAGGCTCTGGAGTGGTTTCTTCCGCAGTTGTAGGCCCTGGAGTGTTTTCACTAGTGGTTGAAGTCCCTGGAGTTGTCTCATCCGTATTTTTAGTTTTCGGAACGGTATCATCGATAGGTATAATCAAAACATAATCCTCCGTCGCGTCTTCATTCTCCTGTGATTTGACTAGTATCAATTGCAGTATGCAGACAAACACTACGGAGATCTTCATTGTATTTTTGTTCAAGGTTTGATATTGTCTGAAAAGTTATATGAAAATAAAATTCCTTTTTTATTACAGCTTGATTCCACACGGTACGTTTTGGTAGAATTATGGAATTTTCAACATGTGATATCGATAGCCCGAATTTCGCAGGCTGACTATAGATACAGGTGTGTGTCTTCATGGGATCAAACCGCGGACCATGTGCATGATCGTTTACAGTTCTAACCACTGAGCCACCGATGCCCAGTAAATCTGTTCAGTTAATCAAAAATTGTGCAATCACTGCGTAATCCAGGTCACAGAACATTATTCTCAAACATGTGTTTAATTATCAGGAAACAGTGTATTGCTATAAATTTGAAATAAAACAAGTTCTATGAATATGATGTAATATTACTCTCGATATTGCGCTCATCGATAACCACGTTACCTGTTCAGAGTATCTTAATTTTCATCACAATTGTAGTGGAGACAGAGGTGTCTATTCGACACTAAATCTTCATCCCTTGCGTTAACTAGTGTCAGTATCAAAATTGTGAGTCGATGGCATCTGTGTTAGGGTGCCCAGCAATCACGCATTTCGGTTGATTTTGATTCCTGTCTCAATACTGTCTTAAGCCTCATATACTACCAGTAGTCAGCTCAGCTTCGTTAAGAAAACACGACGACACTGTAATTTGGGACGGATTAAACCATTTTACTTTACTTTACAAATTATCATAATAATTATTATTATCATTATTATTGATAAATTATTGTGTTGAACTTACTTCACAATACTTCCAAGCAGAGAACTCAAGACCTGAGGTTATTTATAGCGGAATATCTCGTCCGTGCTGAAAATACAACGCTCACCTACAGCTTTATATATATATATATATATATATATATATATATATATTTAATTATAATAATAATTATTATTATGACTACGATTATTAACACTGGACAATGTGGTTTCTGTTTACTCAACTCTCACTGGCATCCAGTAGCAAATACCCTACACAATGTGTCCTTCATTCACGTAAAACGCAACAACATAAACAAAGTTATCTACCTGCATACAAATATTCACATACATTTGTTATTGAGATTTAATAATATTCAGACCAATAATTAATTAATTAATTGATTATTAATTAATTAATAATAACAGTAGATAATTAAGCATTAGAAAAGAAGGGGTAAAGGATGCCACTAAGTCTTTGTATGCATACCTCAAAATAATCATAGAAGTATTACAAAGTTAGGAGGGCAAGTTGTAAACTGATGTGGATTGTGAAACCGAAAAATCATGGTATCTGAGATCAGAAATACAAATAGTCAGATCAACATTTTGGATAAAGACTGAATGGTGCTCCATGTGTGTTTCCGATTTTCATGTGTTGTCGGTGAAATATGCCCGTTTCTTCTCTAAATGACACGGTTTCCCACAGAGGTATTAGTCAAAGGTGAAACTCTCTGTTCCATATTAGACGTCGTGATTAGATTATCAAGAGACTGAAAGGTGACTGGTACGGCTAGTTGAATCCCTTCATGATCAGCTAGTAAATCATGCTGTCAGTTTACTGCTAAGATGAAAAATAATTTGAGAGCAACAGATAGATATTTCGTTCATTGATGCTTTCAATAATAATAATAATTTATTTTACTTTATTCCAAAAACAGTACTTATAACACAGAATGGAATTCTCAGCATTTGTCACAATATTGCATCTGATTTACTTAAAATATAAATTAAATTAAAAATTAAAACAAAAGTAACCAGAGGAATTTGTCCACGCTTACGATATAAAGTCAAGAATATTCTAGGCACGAATTGAGATCATTAAATATTATTAATAATAACAATGAGTTTGTTTCAAACAGTACTATCGATTGAGTTTGAAAATTTTAGCATGTTACTATAGAGTATTGAATCTAATGTTCTGTTGATGTAGTATAGTGAGGGGAAATACAAGATTAACAGTGGTAACACAGTTTAAACGAAGTTCACACTTATGAAAAATAAATAAAAACAAAAACTGAGAGGATTATAACTATAAGAAATACAATAACAAAAAAGCTTGGTATTGTAAGGGTGGAAGAAATGGTTTATTTAGTAATGCAAAGAAGGTTAGTTAGTTCATACCTGACACCATTTTCATCACATAAAGTTTGTGCCAAATACGGTATAGTGGAATTTCTATACTTAGTTGTACGTGCGTAAATTCTTCTAAGAAGACTTCTTGTTTTACCTGAGGAGACACAAGGTTGGAGCTGCGGGTAGAGTGGGTGCTCAGAGTCTGACAAAATTCCCTTAGCGAATTTGTTTCACGACATCAAGTGCCTTTCAGTGACAATGTCAACGATATGGCCCAATGGGATACCACTCGTCCTACTGACAGTCTTCAGAGTTCCACGAAGTATGACATTGTCTTTTTTAAGCAATCCAGGAAAGAATTAGGGTGGGTGAACAGTAAAGAAGAATAGGTAAAATACTCGAGTTGACAAACTGTAAGAGGAGGGGTTGTGTTATGCCCGAGTTCCTCAACTTCTTAATGTAAAAAGTCAGACGAAATATTCTTTTAGAAATCGCTAAGACATGGGAAGACCAGGATAGGTCAGAAGAGAGAATTAATCCAAGATACTTAACTTCAGACTTGATTTCTATATCAGTATCGTCAATTTTGCAAGGGTCATAGGAAACAAAAGCTTCATCTAACTTTCGTTTACATAGGAAACTGAAATTAAAAGTGTGACATTTGGAAGGATTTAGTTTATGGCCGTTAGACGAAGACCATTTGCTTATTCCTGATAGAAAGTCGTTCATCTAAGCACAGTCAAGCTGAGAGTTAAGTGACGTTGAAATATTTAGATCATCGGCATACTTGACAGAGTTCATTTCATCAGAGTGAGGCAAGTCACGCAAGAAGAAAGAAAATAGAAAAGGAGAAAGGACAGCAACTTGAGGGACACCAGCCTCAGTAAGCAAAGAAGTGGACGACTTTCCCTGGCATACAGTGTACCGCTTTCTTCCTGAGAAACAAGAATGCAGCCATTTGACAACCCAACAGTCAGTTTGAGTTCCGGCAACCTTGTTTAACAAAATGTCCCTTGGCACTGAGTCGAAAGCAGATGTGTAATCTGGGAAGGTGCAGCGAACAAATTAAGCCTCCTTCTTTAAGCTAGAGACAGTGTTATAGTGCAAGACTGCAACTGCGTCTAAAGTACTTCTGCTGTGTTTCTAAGTGAATTGTTTAGGATCGTTAAAGGCTTTAAGTGAAGGTTGAAGATCAAGTAAGAGTAACTTTTCCATAGCCTTTAGAAAAGGGCAGGTAATAGCAATAGGTCTAAATTTAAAACATGTTCCAGTAGACGACTTAGGGATAGGTGCAATTTTGATGTCCTTTCAAACGGCTGACACAACATTCCTGTAAAAAGATTCGTTAAATATGTCCATGAGAGGATAAGACAGGACGTCTTAACACTTTTTTAGAATAACACTAGGCAAACCATCTGGGCCCAGGCTACAAGAAGTGTTCAGAGACTAAAGACATTTTTGAACATCATTCATCAATAACGTGATTCTGTAAACGCCTTCATCAATGTGAAGCACTTATTGCCTAAATGTACTAAGAATGTCCAATAGTTCTCTAATAGTGAAATATACAAACCTGGTGATTGAGTGAACTTGCGATCTCCACTAGTTTCTATACTTGGGGACGCGATTCCAGCAGATCTAGATGATTTTGTGTTGTATCGATGAAGTAGCTGAAATGCAACTGTACTGTTGTCGCGTAGATGGCGTTTTTGCAATGTATGATGTAGGTCTATGTAGTGATATGATTTTGTGACACATCGGTGATATTCACCCACGTGTGCATTTCATCTGCGATAGAAAAATACGATAAGTCTGTGCACTTTTTCGATGTCTCTTTAATGAGAAGAGAGGAAGGTTCCATTAGAAAAACTATATTTATGATCTTGAAGACTTCATCACCTTACATACATTTCCTCGGCTCGCGCCGTTGAAATACAAACGTAGTTTGATTAGAAGCTCAGTATTTAGAATGAAGTTGATTCTCTCGAAACACTCTCTAGAGACAGAACTTCAGGTCGTCCGATATATTCTAGGCGGAAACAGCTACTTGGAGAATTTTATAAAAGCTAACATAGGTTATAATAGTCGCAAAGATGAACTAGCAGTTGTGGAGAAAAAGGCATTATTTTTGCATCTACAATTCAAGATAGATAGATATTTCCAGATTCTATCCCAAAGTCTGACCAGAGCGATAAGGAATATTTTCTACTGTGCACATCTGTTCCTGTCCTTTTGCAGCCACATCTTGGAGTGAAAGCAATTGTGCAGTCACAAATCCCTTCTTCTCTTTATTCGATGTATGTATTTTGGCAAGTAAATTCTTAGTGACAGTTAATAATAACACGATCTGGGAATTTATTTTCTGTGGATTGTTTCAATGAGTGACTCATTTAACTGAGTGTGATTACGTTGGGCGCTGAACTGATTCTCTCCAGCACAGAGTTCATTCTGTACTTGATTATTACACACAAAATTTGTCACCTCACGATCCAAGTTCTAAAACTGCTGGCATTTCCATGCTATCTGACATCGCCTTCATACTTCAATTGACTTTTAAGGATATCCACTTTGTCAACAATGGCAACAATGTCAAGTTCCTCACCAAGTATGTCTGACACAACAAGACGTTTTAATATGGCCAACCAACTTCATTAAAAGAGGATAATAAAAAAGGGATGAATTGTAATAATTATATCTGTTAGTATCAGTCTATGCATAAAAGGAGTTGACTGACTGTATTGGAGTTACTTAACAGGATGTATCGTGTGATGGATGATTTATAGTTGCAGTCAGGAGGCAAATATAAACGAAGGAGTAAATAGATTTATGCAAGAGTTCTGAGGAAATACATGAGTTATAAAGAGTTGGAAAAACAAGCAAATATACAAAGAGTGACGTCAATTGAAATCAACAATGGCTATCATCTTGATAATAGGAGTGA